ATATTTAGTGCACCAGAAATATTCATTGAGTCAAGAAGTCAAGAAACCTTTTTTAAATCCCCAAAATACATTATTATGCAGCCAAGCATTCCAGAGACATCATATAGAAAGCTATGAAGAGACAAATGTATCCAGAAAGCAAGATTTCTATCCCAGTCAGCCCCCCATATTTTGCACTTAATAGACACTTAATACATGTTTATTCAAAAAACTAAATTCATGGAGTAAACAATCTAGTTTTAGGAAAAAGTATATATAAATATATGTATGTATGTATGTATGTATGTATGCACACATAAAACAGGAAAATTAATGTCATACGAGAGTTCCCTATATCAATCTCCATATATATAAACAACCAGTGTTCTTGGGCATACACTCTGCTTCTCCCTCATTTCAACATACCTACTAACACTCAGTAAAATTATCAAGAACATTCGAACAATTTGAAAAGATATGTCATTCATTTTCTATATAATTTCTAAGCATATTTCACTATTCTGAATGACCCAAAGGGCAGTGCAATATATTTAATGAGAGCTAATAACTCAATCTTTCCTTTAAAAAAATCAGTACAGAAACTGAGAACTTGAATGTGTTTTGACTTTCCTTCATCCTAATATAACAAAATGTTGTCCATCACCAATGACTAGGTTCTTTAAATTTGCACAATTAAACTGCCATCACTGCCAGGATGTAAGAGTCTGTCAAATACATCTTCCACAGTTTGTTAAAATTACAGCCATCATACATGAAAATCTCTGCCTTCAGAACATTTTTACTCTGCCTTTTGTATAAACAATGTAAGACAATAAAAAATGTAGGCATACTGGGTATGTAACCTGAATTATGAGGGGCATAAAATGTTTATTTCATAGAATAAAATAAGATAGGAATTGATTAGCTGCAGAATTAACCTATAAATTATATTTAAGACAATATCAAAATCATAAAAATATTTTCACAAATAGAAAAATGATGCAATAAAGTAATCTTTCACAATATTCTAAAAGTAAGTGACTCAAAGGAGGAGATTATGCCAATATTCAAATTTTTTGAAAGCATACACCTTTTTTCCAAAGTACATTTGTTCGGTTTTGTTTGCAGCATTAGTACACTATGAGAATTCCTTGGGGGTGGGATCTGTGTTTACCCCCTTTTCTGTAGTATTAGGTTCAACACCTAGATCGCAGTGTGCACTCAAGACACGCACACCAAATGCAGAGTGAGAAATCTGTTCGCTGGTCTCACTTCTGAAGCCAAGTAGCACTTAATTAGAAGTCAGGACAAACAAACGTCAGCTTACATATGAAAGAGCAGAACCAAGAGCATCATTTTCATAGTTTCTAATACAAATTTAATTTTTAAAGTAATTTTAGTCTTTGAGATTTAAAAATTTTCAATGGTTTCCTGCTTTTGTGAGTCATTTAATTTCCCCAAATGAATGAAGAATAACAATCTTTAAAAACAGTTTCAAAGCATCCACCTTATTTCTTCCTCTTGAAAGTTCTGTTTCTCCCTCTTCTAATGCAAGTTACTGTTACCTAATATTTATCGGTTTCTTGATATTTACCCTGACAACATGTAGATCAGATACAACCCCCAGCTTCACTGTCTGAAACACACAATTATACTTCAATTTGATATGTGAACAGAAGCTAGTAATAATGGATCCAAGTGAAAAGGCATACACACTAAAAGCAAAGATTTGTGTGACTGGGATTTTCAGCCAGTATTTATTTACCCAAATCGATCTCCCAAACCAGGGTCGCCTGTAAAACTATTCTAATAGTGGCTTTATTTTACATGCATGTTAATTCTTACATTAACTTTTACATTGTAACACTGACTACCATTCTAGTTTAAGTGACATTCTGGAGGTCTTCCTTACTGCTATCATTAGTTAGCAATAGCCTATAAATTACAAAGTCATTTTAGTTAATTATCTTTTAAACATGTATCTCAATGCACCAGGAATGCCTATATACCAAAATGTTTTGGTAGATGTTTCCACAGAGGAAATATTCCTTTTGATATACTAGTAACCACCCTCAAATGTGCCTTTCAGATATTTCCCAAATTGGGAGACTTTCAAAGTGAAGAGCATATTTGCATTCTGATTATGCAAACTATGGAATATTTATTGCTGCAAAAATATATAAATGTCTGCTCAGTTCAAATTCATATTCAAATAATTGCATCAATTTTATTTCAACTACTTTTCTTCTAAATAATTTAAAGTCTAAAATAAAAAGGGTTAAACAAATAACCAGTTTTCTTTTTTAACTTAAAAAAAAACCTCATCAGAGGATATGCTCTTTGATTTTAGAGAGAGAGGAAGCGGGGAGAGAAGAAGGGAGAGAAAGAGAGAGAGAGAGAGAGAGAGAGAGAAATCAGCTGCCTCCTGCGCACACCCCAAGCATGGATCTAACCCATAACTTAGGTATGTGCCCTGACTGGGAATGGGGCCATGACCTTTTGGCATACCAAATGACACTGCAACCAACTGACCCACCTGGCCAGGGCAATAACCAAAGTTTTTATTAGATATTTATCTAATACCCAAAAGATGCATTCCACATGCTTATTTTAGGATCTGGACTCTACTAGTTTATATTTTACCATACTCATCACAGAATAAGTTTGTGGGGATATTCAGTATGCATCTATTTACTCAGAACTACTCAAACACTTCTTGTTACATACTGGCCCACATGATTCTAAAAAAAGAAACCTTGTCCTTACATAATAATTAGGTCTGTTGGTCATCACTGTGACTACAGTAAAAAAAAAAAAAAAAAGACATGCTTTGGAAGATAATTCTAAACAAATATGTATTTTAACAAATAAAATTGTGTTCAAATTAATTACAAAAGCCAAAAAAATGAGTTAGAGAGATCATTCTGGAGTATTGGAAATGTTTTAAAATTGAGTACTGATGATAACTGCACAACTCTGTAAATTTACTAAAAATTATTCAATTTAACACTGAAGTTTACATATGTATATATCATGGTATAAAATTATTTTAAACAAGCCTATGTAAGCCATTCAGTAAGTATATAAATCCTTGTATTTTTTTCATATAGCAATCCATGCTTCTCTAAAAAACTATTACAGTTGAACGGTCCCTAAAAAATCACGTAAGAACTAGGGATTTGTGTGATTTATTAAAATTAATATATTCTAAATTCTAACCTTAAACAGATGTAAACTTAACTAGGAAATTAGCAATTCTGTATAGAATTCTGATAGATGGATATCCTATTTCAAATAATTTACAAACAACCTAATTCTTATCTCTATAATTTTCAATTGTATTGATCACTCTACACATGATACTTTTTTAAAAGGGTGTTGTTTAAAAAAAAAGGGAGGGTATAAAAGCTCTAAAGTGGCACCAGTTGTCCACCTCTTTTCCTTGGTTACTTTCTCCTTATCACTAGGTTTTTCCAGGACAGACAAGATGGGTGATGACGAAAATGTTAATGATTCTTCTTAGGAAAGGGCTTGGCAGAGGTTAGGCTGTGTGTTTTCAGTTAGCTAGCTGTCCTCACAGAGGAAGTTGTCAGAAATTTTGTCTGTTTGGGTCACTGATATAATCCAAACACTAACAGAGCCTGGCACACCTGGCCTACCATTAAAATTTTACTGCTGTCTTTTTTATCAAGCTCAGTCTTAAAAAGTATCATTTAAATACACAAATGCAACCTTAAGCCGTCTTTGGATACCTGTTTCTTTCTCATTAGAAACAAATTGGCTCCTTACTAAATCAGTTTCCTCCAAGGCTAAATCTTAGATGAGGGTGTTAGGACAGAGCATACATAAAGATAGAGGGAAAGTTCTTCCTAAAACCATCGCTGGCTAATATGCAACAGGTAACTTTTACAAGGATAATCTGCCTCAAGGTCAAAATTACATGTTGTAAAATCTACATGGTGTAAATTCAAACCAACCAAAATGACTGTTTGAAGTCCACAATAATTTTAAATCTAAATATACTTATATTTAACCTAAACACTTCTTATAAGCTTCTACTATTTTAGCAAGGGTATAAGTATATTTAATAATAGATCCTATAGAAAAATTCTCAATACACAGCTAACAAGCTATACCATATCTCCTATTTGCAAGAATGAGTAAACTATAAGCAGAACTTACTTTTTTTTCAGGATCTATGGGGGAAATTTTAGAGATGTAAGTATATAGACCCTTTCAAAACATTTTAAGTGTTCATGGCACTGAGAATTCATTATGTCTATTTTCATTTGAAAATTTATGGCTTTGTTATTGACAGATTTGCATTAAAAAAATTAGCCTTATTTTTATCTGCAATAATGTGTGGTTTGAGATTTTCAAATGGAGGGAGAGATATAAGAAAAGTTTCCTAAATCACAGAAGAAAATGCAAGGGGATTTCAAATGAGTACCAGCACATAAAATAAAAAAGGTAGAGAAATGGAAGAAGGTAGCAACCACTCATGACTCATGACAACACGACATTACTAGAAACACGTCAGAAGGTAAAGAAAGACAGCAGACACTCAAAGTTAAGTGGAAGTAAGGTGGAGTAGAATACAAAAAGTTATTTATACATTACAAAATATATTTATACATATTTCTTAATAAACACAGATTTTCATATTTCTCACTTATAACTTTACATAATCTATCTACTCCTGTTTGACCAGAATCCCAAGTTACTCTCCTCAATAGAAAATCTCAACACAATCTTTACTCCATCTCCGAATCAAGATTAAAGCATTAATTCCAGAAAATTATTAGCTCATGCTATGTTTTCTCATTGGTGTTTATGATAACTCATCAAAATTGATCACATTATATTACTATGTCAGACCATGGTATATGAGTAAAACCTACTTTTAAAAGTAATAATTTCTTGTGAATAGAGTAATTTAATATATAACCTACACATATGAATTTCAACTTTTTAAAAATAATTTAATATAGATTTAAAAATCCACAGATTATTTCTCTTACCATTCAGTAAACAAGACAACCAGATCCTCTTGATCGGCATAACGTTCCATAACTTCCTTCATTAATCTCACTTTTTGGCCCCCTCCAATACTATTAATTCCATCACCTCCTCTCCACTCTTCTCCTTGACCAAGGACCTATAAATAAAATCGACATTTCATCCCTGAGCAAAATTTAAGTGACAGTATCATAAAAACTGGAAGCCATCAGCAACTTGGAGAGTATTACACAGTAACCACCTTTAAACATTTCACTAAATCATAACACTAAAAAAAAAAAAGTAACTTGAAACCTAGGTCAGGTCATAATTTGTAAATATTACCCACCTTATAAAATGCTATTCTCAATGTTACCATTTCAAAAGTAGAGTCTAATCTGGCAGATGTCTAGGGGGAGAGGTGGTCGCAGAAAATATATCTCATATGTTATTTCTATTTGTTCAGATTAAAAAGAAAAGAAACAAAGTTTCCATAACACTTCTAAGCTGACAGCGAATCTATAGTCTATAGATGTCAGCGAACTTGACAGTCTACGAACACTCAAAGCCCTGGAGGCACAGTGACGCCTGACAGAGCCTTAAGCAATTCTCCTACTGACCCAAAATGGGTTGTTCAGGGAAACACAGAGAGCAGCACGTCAAACATCATCTTCTTCTGTTACTCTCAAAAGCTTAATACTAATTCATCCATGCAAGAAACTGCCTAAGCACATTTAATCAAAACTAAACTTGGAGCTGTTCTCATCACTATCTACTGTTGCATCAGCAGCTCCCACCCGAGTTAAAGGTACACGGTGACACACCTGGCCATGAGGGGGCAGGGAGCACAAGTCCCCCACACCCAACATACACCCAGTACAACTTTGTTTCATCCGAAGAAAAGTCTCAAGTTCCCGGAATAATGATATATTTGGAAATTTGTAAAATTAAGGGGTAATGAAATTAAAAATCATTAAAAATGGATAAAATAAATTTAGAAAACAAATTATTAGTTTCAAATTTTACTTAACATTGAACCAAATATAAACCTGGCTGGCAAAGCCCACCTCTCTAGGTATCACTTCATAAAGGGCAGAAGAAGAGGCTAAGTAAGAAAACTCAGACTGACGTGAACCTGGATTCATACTGGGTCTAGTCAGTAGATGTATTAGTTTTTGCCCGAAAAAGTGGCCTCCTCTGGCCCTGAGATTTATCACACTTCCACTTCCATTCCACAGCCCTCCTGGACTTCTCCAATACTGCAGTAATAGCAGGCCCAGGGCATCTGAGAGACTTTCTGTACAGCATTCTGTGCTAGGCTCGATTCTCCATTTTCTTTGCACTCCATCAGTGTGCCAAACTGGGGCTTGTATCTGAATCGCAAAGAGGGCTTGTTAAAACACAGACTGCCACGTCTGCTCCCAGAGCTTGTGATTCAGCAGGTCTGAGCTGGGGTCTGAGAATGCACATTTCCATTCCCCAGATGATGCTGATGCATTTCAAGAGCCACTGAATTGTGTAAAGGGAAGGCAGCAGGAGGATCAAAAACACCAGGTGGCCCAACAGGACTGGGGTCCAAGAGTTCACACGATAGCTCCGTACCCGGGGGCAAGTTTTCCTCACCTATACACAAAGCAGTACCTTAGATAGTTCACATAATGAATCAACAGTACACCATATATGAGGTCTCTCCTGAAGGTATCCAGCCATGTAATATGAAAAATAGAGAGATTTATTGAAGAAGATATAAGAAACATTGCACATAGGACAATGATGCCTCAGTCTCCTTCAAAGCAGGCACCTTGGGACCTCACACAGTTCTCCCAAAAGTCATCAACTGCCCCATCATATCTTCTTGAATCTCACTGAAAGTCTGAAATCTCTTCCCTTTCAAAGGTGATTTTAGTTTGGGGAAAACTCAGAAGTCGTAGACTGCCAAATCTGGGCTACGGCAGATCTGAATCACCTGAGTGATTTAATGTTTCACCGAAAAACTGCATGAGGTGTGATGCATGAGCTTGCGTGTTGTGGCAGTGAAGCTGCCTATCACCACTTGCCCATAGCTGCAGCCTTGTGAATCATTCAAATACTTTCCGTGGAGGAATGTTCAAGATTAACTCAAAATTTGATGCAGATTTATTGCTCTACTCGCTCAGTCATTTTGAATGTGATGACCACATAGTATACATACTCACTCAATGGTGTCTACTGCCCCCACTGACCACCAGTACAGTGAAGTCATCATTGTTCACACATGTGGATTCCAGTCCACTCTCCTCGGCCACCAGGTTACATCTACATCATGCAAACTGTTCTCATTATATTAACAAAGGCTGGACTTTTTCCAGACAGACCACTACACCACATGTAAAGTTCCTAACAGTGATTCACACATAAGAAACATTCCTTGCTCCCCACAGTCTAAAACCTAAAGATTCCCCTCATTGGATTTCAGCATTATTTTACCCTGATTTTTCTCTTACTCCCACTGTGCCTCCTATCAGTGCATACTAGTATATTTCTCCTCTATCCTAAATATTTATACTTTTCATTTATCCTGTATTAAACATCTAGTTGTTAACACTAGCCCTCTTTCCCAGCACAGTTCAGCCTCTTTAACAGGTATTCTGTCTTAACCTAGTCTCCCCGTGGCAGCGAATTCCACCTTCTTTCTGCACTACGTACTGGAACAGCAAGCCCCACCTCTACTTTGTAAGGGTTTTTTCTTCCTGTAAATGCGTTAATTTGTTTTCCTATCTGGGGTTCCTCCCTATTTTCTCTTATTTGTAGGGAAAATAACCTTGCTGAAAGGCCCTCATTTATAGTAAATAAATTTTTCAAAAAGCTTTTCACCGCTCAGTTGATGAGCTCACCAAATTTCTCATGTTTCTTCTGATCATTTACCAGTGAGGTATCCCCTGAAGATGTCTTCTAAAACCTATTTTAATTTTTGTGTTTCCAAACTCCTCTGAAACAAATAAAAAACAGGAAAAGCAATTCTCTGTGATGGGACAGAAAGGCACGCCCTAGTCACGTTTGCATTTCTCTGTAAGCAAAGTAACAGCACGGGAGACAAAAATACTCCTGTCAAATCTCAGGTATGTTGTGTTCACATGTGACCCCCCCAAAAGAAATATAAATATAAAAACACATAAACATATTTTCGTTATTTTATAAACATGTTTATAAAAAGCATCAGCAAGTTTAAGAAATATTGTCTGAGTAGCGGCATATTAATGAGGCCAAAAGGTATCTTTAAAACGATCAAGTATATATAAATTGTAAAAGCAATTATGTAATCAAATTCACCTTCTTCTATGGATTGTAGGTTTGGTTGTTGTTATTACTATTATAAAAATGTACTTTAGGGACATATTTTAATATCTTTGTGAATTAAAGACATACTGTACCTTCACAGTGTAATTGAAGTATTTGGCTGACTGCATAAACCGATGGAATCCATCACTTTCTTTTGTTGCTACAGTTATGACTAATAATTTATCTGCAAAGACAGAAGGAAATAACATAAGATGGTTTCCCATAAAAGAAGTTAAATGCTCCCACTTTACAATCACCATGGTGATTCAAAACCTCATGCACTCATGGGAATACTCTAGTTTGTTAATCTACACAAGGATAAACAAAGAGCCGCTGGAAAAAAAAAACGCAATTCAAGCTGGTGATGCTACTGCCAAAAGATGAACCATTGAATAAAAATCATTTTAATGGTAAGAAAATGCTTTAATGTTTTCAGAAAAGCATGCTCTCAACAGAAAATTTCAACACTAAAAGAAACACTCCCATAAAATACACAACATTTTTATCTGTAAAGATAGTCTCTCCTAGAAATTATCTGATCAACCAGCCTCACTGTCACCTGTATATAATCCCTGATGCACTACACACATCAGTGAGGTCCAGGAACACATTATACATGCAAAAGAAAAGATCCAATCATGAGACTGGTCGTAATTTTTAAATGAATTATAATAAACTGGAGACAAATATTTAAAAACAGAATCTTAATTTTTTTCTTCCTATCAGAGTTGTTGTATAAGAAAATTCTGTAAAAACAACATTTACATCACTTCAGTGTTTTGTTTTTACTTGTAAAGAATAAAAGGAACCAAAATCCACACTACCCTAGTAAATACACAGTTTTTAGTCACCATTTTATTCTACTGGATTATTATTTTAAATCCAACAAAATATTCCCTCTTAGTGAGAAATAAATAGGTTTAAGGAACCTTTTCAAAATACCTATAGAAGCTATCAAAAAATATTTATTAGGAAAACACGTGTTACAAACTGCATAAAAGAAACAACTGCATCAGAAAATGTCAAAGATGCTGGGACTTTTTTTTAACCTGAAGATACAGGAAGACCAGTGGATTAAGAAAGCAAAACTAACATTTTTTTGATATTCTAGGCACTGGCACTAAGCTACATGATTTGATTCTCATTTTCCTGTTATAAATAAGAAAAAAGAATGCAGTCCCCTAAGCAACAGACCATCATTGAATACAGCATTAATGTAGTATAGGAGTCAATTAAAAACAATTTCATATGACCCAAAGTAATGATCAAAAATTGAAAATAATTAAAACTACAAAACATAAGTGCAGTACAAAGAAGTAATAAATTCAAACACTCATTAGTCAACTTAGAAAATGAAAACATTTCCATGAAGATAAACATTCTTAGATTTATTTCTGCTAAGAGGTATTTCTCACATAATATTCACCATTTTGAAAAATAAATATTCAAGAAAAAAATAAGTCATCTTCATAAAGTTGTCACACCCCCAGTAAATATATTTTAAAGTCCTTTAAAATATATTTTTAAAAAGTACTTTAAAGTATTTTTTTCAATTAACTATTCTTTTTTATTTAAAAAATCTCATTTGTAATGTTTCAAACAGTGGTTAACCAATTAAGAAAACCTGACATGTTACCACTCACCAAAAATTTCAAAATAGTGAATGCCAAATTGTATTTATAAAGAGCACGCTTAATAAAGTCTTTTTTCTCTGTAATATAATGACCACTTAAATGTAGTTTTCTTAATTTTTTCTACATAAATCATAAGGACTAGCTACAAGTTTATATTTTAAGTGGATAGATTTTATGCTTACCATTTCCAGTATAAAATTAACAGCAAGGATTTCATCATCCTTAATAGGAAAAGTAATGCCGGCCAAACCCTCGGGCAGACAGACACGTAACCCAATGCAACGACTCAGAAGGTGGACCTAAAAATGCGTAGTCTGGCAATCTAAACAATTTTGTTAAACGAAGGTATGTTTAGTAACACTGTATTTGTACAAACACCTGTCTACTCTCATCTCTAATCAGAATCATTTCTCTGATGAGAAATAAATCCTACTCATTGGGGGACAAAGAAAGTGCTGCGCGTGCACCACCCACAAGCTTGCTCTGACCAACTCAAGGGTCCATCCAGCTTCTCAGCATTTATGGAGTGCTCTTGTCAAAAAATTTAACCTACGTTCGATCCGTACTTTAGATTTCACTAAAATGTACACTACAAACTTACCTAAAATGAAAAGGAGTAGCAACTGACCCATAGAATCAATGGCAAAAAAGTGTTACAGTATATTGACAGAATTAAGAGATAATTCAACCAAAGGTAAATCATGGACTTCAGTTGGGTCCTGATTTGAAAAACTAACTGCAAAAAATGTATTTAGGAGAAAATCAAGGCTCTCTGAACACTAATTGAAAATCTGTTGATATCAAGAAAGTGTTAATTTTTTAACATGGTAATGACATTGATATCTTTTAAAAAGAGTCATTATGATTTAAATACAGATACTAAAGTATCTAACAATGACAGGCTAAAGGGTCCGTGATTTGTTTATACTTTATGTGAGGTCAGATATAAGGCAATGAAGGAGGAGGGGGAGGCTAAATATTAAATAAGACTGGCCATAAATGATAACTATAAAAACTAGATTCCTTTTGCATGTTTGGAAGTTCCCATAATTAAAAAAAGAAGTTCAACTTTATGCACAATCCCTTATCTTCCAACCAGAAAAATGACAAAAAATATTTAAAATAAAACTTTAACAGTCTAAATCACCCAAGGAAAGAAGCCATAGATAGAAAGCAGAAATTTTCTAAACAAATAAAGTTATAATTTAAACAATTCTAATTATTTATTCAAATAATTGCCTTACCTAGTCCATCCAGCTCAACTGAAATGACAAAGTGAGATGACAGGGGAATGGGCTTGAACCACAGGCACCCATCAAACACTACCAGCACCTGTGGCCAGATGTAACCTCCATAGGCAGGGCCTGACTCTTATCTATTAGATAAGAGATTGATACTGTTTTGTGAACAAGAAACATGCAATGTATCTAGAGTGTGGTAGAACAACCACTTACCCATGGAAATCACATCATAGAAAAACAAAAAAAGACACTTCTGTGATCATCTTTATGAAGTCCCACAAAATGCCTATCGGTGTAATAAAATTTAATAAATACTGAAATGGCTAACTATTTAGCTCTCTACAAAAATTCAGATGAATATCTGAACTTCTCAAAAAGTCAATAATTTATTTAGAAAGGTCAAAACACGCTATACCTCTCATGAATGCACTCGCAGATGCGATGGGAAAATGCACTGTTAGATTCAGTATTTTTTCTTCAAATGTTTGTTAACATAAGAGTAGAATTTATCAGTCAATGGTGCTGACCTAATTTTTGTTCAAAGACAAACGATGGATTTAAAACGGGAAGCTTTTTTGCTCATATATCCTGCTAAATGCTAACTTGACACATAAAAACCCTCTGGAACTCAGTCTTAATAACAGGGATTACGTGAAGCAACTCAGCACTAGCCCAGCTGCCTTTCATCCCGCCACTGAGGAATAAAGTTCCTATCTTCCCAAGAAACTTTCTCTACACGGAGCCAAACCAGTCCTTAATTATAAATCTGCAAATATCAAGAAAAATCATTCTACCACGGGAACTCTGAGTTCCCTGTTCTCATTCTGCAGCTCACTCACTTTAAGAGCAGATGTGGCCTCCATCTGTAAAGATCAGTAGCTCTCGACCTGACTGAAGGCACGTTTTCTCAAAATGGGCAGCTAGCGCAGGGGCAGGACACTCTTGCTGCAGAGGTTGAACTGTAAGTATCTTAGGCTTTGCTGGCCACGTATACTTTCTGTCCCGGTTCCTTTTTTTTCCTTTCTTCTTCCTTTAAACCCTTTAAAACTGTTTTTTTTTTCTTTTTCAGTTTTCTGGCTGTTTGTACAAAAACAGCCAGGGGCTGGATTCACCCCAGTGTCATAGAGCGCCTTGTGGTTGGCTGTGTGAATGAGAAGACAAACTACCCAAGTGCAAACTCCGACTCTACTACCATTTATTTGTCAAAAACTGGCCCGTTAAACCTTGTGTCTCACCTGTTTCTCATCTTTAATATGTAATAATAGCACCTACCTGACAGGTTTGCTGTGAGGGTTAAATTAGGTAATATATGCAATGTGGCTAATACACTGTGAGCTCAATGTATTAAATAGTATCTTATATCTTTCTCACTATTTCTATTCTATGATGCATGGAAAAGGCAGGTTGTAGTTGTGCAAATTTCGGCAGGTTGTATCTTTCTTTATCCGAATTATACACTCAAGAATCTAGTTATCTCTTCCAATTCTCAATATTTTACATTAATAATGATTAAAAAAACACTATGTAAAAACAGTTCAACTTGAAGTTGTTCATTCAAATATAATTTAGCAGATAACTAAATTACGCTTTCTCAAATTTTTACATCTCTCTTCAACTCCAAGCAAGTTCTATAAAACTAACTCAATTACAATCACTATTAGCCGGGCTTCTGCAGTCGCCCCCTAAACCCACTGTCCCCACTCCAACCATGTCCCTACGAAGCAGCCAGAGTGATCTTTTCCAGAGGCTTATCTATCTGATCATGTCACCGCACTGCTAAACACCCTTAAATGGCTTTCCATTGCTCTTCAGATGGTGGCTGGGATTCCTCAAAGCGGTCCTTAACTACCTGTGTCCTCTCCAATCTCATCCATTACCGCTCTCTGTTCCAACTGCACTGGCCCTTTTCGGTTTTCCCAACAATGCCCGCCCCCTCCCACCGGATAAAAAGAGCCTGTGCAAGTCACCTAATCCCTCCTGATCTCTTGATGTAGCTACCACCTATTCAAATTTGAGAGTCTTACATATGTGCCATTTTCTCAAGACCTTCCCAGACCCACTAGTATAGGCCAGTACTCATGATACGTTTTTACTTCTCCTTCTACCTGGTGCACATTCTATCTCTCTTTCAGTGCACTTGCCGCGAACTGTTAATTGCTGTAACTGGACACTAATTTGCATGGTTACTATTTGAGATTAAAGTCTCTCTCCCAAACTAAACTGTAAATTGCAGAAAGGCAGGATGTCTGTTGCTCAGCACTACACCTTCTGGGCCTATCACAATGTTTACCATACAGTATGTTCTACGT